GAGGCGGCGTCCGTCGTGTGGCAGTGATAGGCAAGAGCGCCTTCAGCCCAGGACCCTGAAGAGGAGCGGAGAGGGGAAGCCCGGGAGACTGAAGAGGAGCGGAGAGGGGAAGCCCGGGAGGCTGAAGAGGAGGAAAGTGAAAGGCACTCTGGGCACAGGGACCTCCTTGTCACGGGGGCTGGGGTCACACAAGGGCGTCAGTGGCACCTTTGGGGTGCCCTGGCTGGCTTTGAGCTGGGTGCCCTCCTTGTCACCAGGGTTGGGGTCTTTGCTTTTGCCATGTTGCTCCGTGGGTGGGTAGCCTTCCCGGAGAGAGGGGCAACCTTGTAAGCAGGGGGAGAGCCACCATCTCCGCAGCCTGGGGTGGGGGGAAGAGGAGCTCCTGAATATGGGGCGTTGTGCTGCAGCCGGGTTAGCCAGCCCGTAACTCGGGCTCCGTGGGGCTTGTTGGGAGTGCTGAGCTGAGGGGGACCGCCCTGTAAGAAGGGCTGTGTGTGGCCCCTCTGCTGGGCGGGAGGTGTAGGGAGGGACCCCTTTAATCAAATGGGTGTTTCTGTCCCTGACCTTTCAGAGGCACGGGGCTGAGATGTGTGGTTGGGCGTGCCCTGCCCTGGGCTTCTTTCTCTCTGCTCTCAGTACCTGGGGCAGTTTAGGAGGGTGGACACTAGTGGGGAAGGTGGGAGGCTGGGGCGAACCTGTCTGGGACCTTCCTCTGAGGTTGATGTCCCTCACTCCCCCGGGCGGGGGACCTGGTTTTTGCTTGAGCCCTCACTTCCTTGGCAGCCGTCCCAGGACAAGAACATTGTGTGGAACGGTGCCAGTGAGCACCACGGGTGAGCTAGACGAGGGGCGGTGGGCTGAACACAAGAGCGCTGCCAACACCTTTGACTGGCGGTGCGCTGCGTGATCTCCCTGTAAACACGGCTGGAGTCTTTGGCCTTTTGCCACGATGCCCCACGGTTTGGCTGCCCAGAGAGCGTGGCAACCCTGTAAGGAGGGTGAGAGCCACCGTCCCCGCACCCGAGGGGGAAATGGAGCTCTCTGGACCCCTAGGCCACCCTGTAAGCAGGGGAGGGCCGTTTCCCTGCCCCAGCAGCTTTCTGCCCGCTGGTGGCCTACCCAGCGTGACCCCCTGTTGTCAGGGCGTGTCACAGCGTTTTCCCCTTGGCGTGTTGAAGCTCTCCGGCTTCCACGCAGCCCCGGGCCCGGTCCGAGGCTCTCCTCTCCTGCTCGCAAGTAGGGTGACTCCCCAGGCATTGGCTGCACGGGGCCCACGCTCCCTTTGTGGAACTTCTTTCCTTGTTTGTGTCTGCGATTGCGTGCGTGTCTTTGCGTGCGTGTGCATGAGCAGGAGAATGAGCTTGTTTAGGCCCTTGTTAAAATAGCTGCAGCGTACTTAGCCTGAACTTCCCGGGAGAGCCGGGCTCTGTGCAGTAACAGGGGGCCCCCCTCTGAGTCCGTGAGCGGAGGGACGGTCTGGACTCGCCCCTTCTTTCCAAGGACGGCACCAAGCCGCTTAGTCGTGGTGCGGGCAATGCGACCCGCCTGCAGTCAGGACCTGGGTCTCTGCCTGCGTGGCTGCCTGTCCCGCTGGTGACCCGCCAGCGTGACCCCCTGTTGTCAGGGCGTGTCACAGCATTTGCCCCTTGGCGTGTTGAAGCTCTCGGGCTTCCACGCACAGCCACAATAATCGGTGGAGCCCTCTGTCCCCTGGAGCAGCCCCAGCTCGCTTTAAGCAGGGCTTGGGACGCTGTTTTAGCCAGCCCACAGGAACGAACCCTCCCTCGCCCTTCAGAGGGCGCCGGCCCACCTTTGGCTGGGCTGACCTCCCCCTGCTTGGGGTCGAGGTCGCTCGCTGGGCTCCTGCAGAAGTACAAGATGATGATGGTGACGATGATGATGATGTGCTGCAGCCACGAGGCCCGCCCGTAAGTCGGGCGCAGGTCGGAGCCTCAGGCTCCGTGGGGCTTGTTGGGAGCGCTGAGGTGAGGGGAGCCACCCTGTAAGGAGGGCTGTGAGTGTCCCCTGCTCCCAGTGGGAGTGCTGGGAGGGCCCCCCTGTAAGCAGGCGGGTGTCCCTGGCCCCAACCTTGCAGGGGCAACAATTCGGAATCTGTGTCTTCTCACGCCAGAACTGGAATGGCTTCTAAACCGCCAGGGAACGGCCCTGAGCCAAGTACCTCCCCCACACCCATAAAGACCCTCCCCAAAGCACTAAGGATGCTGTAGTGTGACTGCAGCCCCGGTGACAGGGACCGTCCCTTTGCCCGGAGTGCCTTTCTCTGGGCCCTTCTTCAGCCCGCTGCTTCTCCTCCGGCTCGCTCTTTCCTTGCAGTTCCACACGCGAGGGATGCCTCTGTTTAACCTTCTCCTCCGGGGGCTGCTGCCAAGGAACCGGGGAGCCTCTGCCCACTCCTCCGCCCGGTGGACCGGGGGGCGCCCGCCCCGGAGGAACATCCCTGCTTTTGTTTGTCCAGAGTCCTGGGCCTGAGAGCAGAGACCGAGCGGCCTAGGGCACGGCGAGGAGGGTGGGATGGGAGCAGGTCGAGGGTGGCCAGCGGCGCTTGCCCGCCTCAAACACCACCCCGTTTGCAACCAGCTGCTCGGCGTTAAAGCGACAGCTTCTCCCGAGGGTGGGGGGAGAGACCCACTTCGGGAGGTTCTGCCCAAGCCCCCCGCCCCTCCCGGGACCTGCCCTTGCCAGAGCTTCCAGCGATTCCGCTGCCCCTAGGGCAGGAACTGCCCCGCACTCTACAGAGCGCGCAGCTGGCAGCCTGCGTGGGGTGACCGCCCCCCTAGTGGGGTGCGGGTCAGGGTGTCCCTGAACGGGAGAGAGGGAGCCCCAGAGGGGCTTGGGGACCAGGGCCGCCCCCTCCAGCCGCTGCTTTGCACGCCCAGCAGCGCGTGCCCAGGGTGCCGCCTCCGAGCACGCCTCCAACGCCGGCGGAGCCCCGGAACCTCGCTCCGGTGAGAAAAGGCGAATGCCGAGGTGTTTGGGGGGGGGGGGGGGGGTAGGGGGGTGGGGGGGGGGTGGGGAGGGGGGGGCGTATGCTGCGGGGCCGGCGGAGCAGCGGGGACTGCTCGGCCCTGACTGCCTCCTCTGGCCCCTGCAGCGGCTGCTGGCGGAGGGGTCCGTCGAGCGTGGAAGGACCATCGGGGCAAGAGCGAGCGAGGAGTGGAAGTGCGGGAAGAACGCGCACGACAACGCGGTCGTGAGCAGGAACTGTCCTGCAACAGCTTTTGTCGCTGCCCTTTTCCCAGCTATTTACTGCGGCGGTTACCCAATAAAGCGCTTTCTCCAACCGTCTCCTGTCTGTTTGGCTACTGTCCTGCCCGAGTTCGCCCGGGCAGGGACGGGGAGGTATGCCCTCGGGAGCATCCACCGCCGCGGGGCTGCTGCCGTCTCGCAGTCGTGGGAAGGGGCGACCGGCGGCTACCATAGCCGTGTTCCGGCTCCGCTTCCTCTGCTGCGGGGCGCGCTCCGCACTCCGGCGGAGCGAGCTGACGGCGGCCCGCGCAGGCGGCGTGGAGGCGCGCGCCCGTGCCCACACCCGGCATGGCGGCCGGCGGCTTCGGCAGCGCTGTCGTTCCGTTCGCTCGGGCCAGGTAGCGGGGGTTCTCGGCTTCCCGTTCTCGGCATGGCCGCCAAGGGGGCTCGGCAGCGGCTGCGAGCTGGAGGTGGCGGGGAGGCGGCCCGGCCGCGGTCGGAGGCCGCGGTCACGGAGGAAGCCCGCTTGGAGTAGGTGCCGGGGCCGGCGTCGGGAGGGGGGAGTCCGCGGCGAGGCGGGGCCGGGACGCGGTGGGCGCCGGGCGCGTACCCCTGCAGCCGGGCGGTGCGCGCGGCCGCCTGTCGTGGGCGGGTTCGCAGCGGCATCCCCAGTCGCCGGCGGGGCCGGGGCCGCGGCCGCGGCCGCTGCCGCTGCGAGCTCCCGCCCAGCTACTTCCTGGTCTTTGCGTCCTGAAAGGGCCCGGAGCGAGCCCCCTGCAGGGGCTGGTGCGTGCCCAGCCGGCTCCGTGTGTGCCGGGGGAATGGGATCTCCCCGGCGTCCTGTCGGTGGAGTTCCTCCCCTGCCTGTGGTAGCTCTGCGTGGCCTTGGTGGTGGGAGGAGGGCAGACCCTGGGGGCTGTCCTGCTGCCGTGCGTTAAGCACCCAGGGCCCTTGTTCCGTTATGGTGTGGGGTGGAAGATGGTTCTTCCTTGGCACGGAACCGGTAACCCCCAAAGAAAGGAGTGAATGAAAGATACTTAGGTGACAGAGATGCAGATACGCTTGTCTGTTCTGCATCTCTTTGTTAGTTCTGCATCGCATTGTTAGTCTTGAGCTAGTTGCCGGGTCTTCTAGGTGTGTATCTGTACTTTTCTCTTTGGACTAGATCACCTGGGAGCAAAGCAGGACAAGTTTGGGCTCCTGAAGGATCAACGGCTTTTAAGTGTCTCATTTCAGCCAGGTTCTGTGCAGCTCTCTTAAGCAACATCTCTGACTGCGATGAGACCTTTAACTATTGGGAACCGGTAAGTGGCTTTGTCTCCTCCGAGATACTTGAGAGTTTGTAGCTGGCTGTGCAAATGCAGATTTATCTTGAACCTTGCGCTAATCTCTGCGTTTCAGAGAAATTTTCTTAGGGATTCATGGTGAGGAATGCAAACCCTGTCTGCTCTGTGTAATGCGTGTTTGTTTAATCTGAATTGTAGACGCACTACTTCGTTTATGGAAAGGGGTTTCAGACATGGGAATACTCTCCAGCCTATGCCATCCGCTCCTATGCTTACCTGTGGCTTCACGCCTTACCAGCTTTGTTCCATGCTAGAGTTCTACAAACTAATAAGGTAAATCAGCCAGCTGTGTGAAAGTTTCTTTTCTGATGAATAAACATGCCTTTAGCCTGTGTTAAAGAGGTGCTCTGTTTGTTGTTGGAGTGAAAAGGACTGGTATTTACAAAACACCCCTTTGTTTACAAATACCTCCCTTCCTGTAATAATTTGCCAGGCTTTGTAAACTGAATTTGATTCACTGCTGTAGTCTGGTAATGCCTGTGCTGAGTGGCAGTGGTGATCCTGACTGTTAAGTCTCATTCCTTTTTTACCAGTGAAAGTGCAATTAGTTCTTGATTGTAACATGGAGACAACCACCACTGTCCTGAAAACGTGTGAGCCATTTCAACACTTCTGATGAAAGACTTGGCTTGTTTGGGTAATTATTAGAAACCTTTATATCTGAGACTGTTTTGGGTAAGTTGCTGGGCTCAAATTATGATCACAGGAAGGTATCTCAGGGAAATCTGTTTAGTGGTGTGTGTAATTCACACTTTTATTTTTCACAGGGGTTTCCTAGAACCAAATTCAAATCATCCAGTACGGACAGTAAAGGAGAAGCTCACTGCAGAGCTTTGCCAAGCCTTTCCGTTACAAAACATTGACTCCTGCCTTCCTCTGCTCCACCAAGGTCAACTCAATGGTGTCTGTGACTCAAATATCTTTTGGATCATTCTGAACCCAGAGGAGACTCCAAGCACTGAAGAAATGTCTAATGGACTGGCAAATGCAGTTTCATTTCACCATGTTGATTTTTGCAGGGATGCAGATAAGAATGGCTGGGTGGATGTACAAGAGGGATGCCACATTTCAAAGCAGTATTATCTTAGACCTTCCCTTCTACCTTATGCTCAGGCAGTAGGACAAAGAGGAGCTTTTCTCCCAGAGACACTTTATGTTCTTTCTGGGCTGGTTTTCAGGAGGTGTTTTATCACTCCTCACTCAATGCCTGTTTTTCATGAGATGTTTTTTGTAAGCGCCATTAACAGAGGCACAGAGAAAAGCTATATCCAGATGTTGGTGGATAACATTAAAACTAGCATACATTCTCTTCACCAGACCGTTTCCAGCTTTAAACTGAGTATCAGCCTGCAGGAAGCAATGAGCTTTGAAACAACTGAGCTAAATGACTTTGCTGCTTTTGAAACTCGGCTTAGTAAAATTCAGTACTTAATCTGTGTGGAGACAGATACTTCAGGCTCCCATGACAAGGGCTCCTGTGTGGGAGTTATAAGGACAGCTCATTATGAACTAGTAGGCAGTGAACTGGTTATTGTCTTTGCTTCATTGAATCTTGACCTCCTAGCCATGCTGATCTGTGGAATATGTGATTGGCGAATGCTCTGGACATCAGACAATCGGTTCCTCCATCAATTTCCTAGAGGAGAATTAAGGCTATTCAAGAGTTTTTCTCTCTATCCACCTTCCTATGTGCATGATGTCAGCTTTTGGGTTCCTGATGGGGAACAGTTCGATGAAGTTGCTTTTCACACCATTGCCAGGCAGGTGTCGTGTGAAACGGTCACGTCCATCCAGTTAATCGACAGTTTCCAGCAGTCAGAGACAGGACGGAGGAGCTTCTGCTACAGGCTGACCTTTCAGTCCTGCGACAAGGCCCTGAGCCGTCAGCTGGTGGCGGAGATGCAGCTGCTCCTCCGGAAGGAGATAAACCAGCACTTGGGTGTTACTGTTCGATAGAGAGGTGTGTGTTGGTTTCGGGTGATTGAGCACTGCCTGTGCCTTGTATTGATGGGGAAATGCGGTCCTCGACACCAGGTGCTCCGCAGCGCCCATCGCTCCCAGCTGCAGGGCTTTTAGGGGTTTAAAAGGACCGCCCCTGGGGCCGGAAGGGGAGAGGGGTGGGTTTGTGCTGCGTAGGCGGGGTCGTGGTACTGTGCGGTGAGCCACGAGCCCAGCGCGTGCTGCAGCCCCGGGCGCCTCGCGGGAAGGCGGGAAAGTGGAGGGGATGCTGCACGCGCCGGGCTCGTGCCCCCTCACCTCAGGGGCGCCTCGCGCGTGGGCGGGAAGAGCGGGAGCGCGCATTTACCTCAGGGGGCTGAGGGGGCGTCTGAGGCAGACGGGAGCGGGACCCGCCGGGGGACGGGACGGGAGCCGGTGCCGCCGGGGAAAGGGTAGTGATCGCCTCGGGATGGGAGGGAATCGGTGCCGTCGTCTTGTGGGGGAGGGTCTGTAATTGCCTCAGGATAGAGGGGAGCCGGTGCCGTCGTCTTGGTGGGGAGGGGTCTGTAATTGCCTCAGGATAAATGGGAGCCGGTGCGGTCGTCTTGGTGGGGAAGGGTCTGTAATCGCCTCAGGATAGAGGGGAGCCGGTGCTGATGTCTTGGTGGGAGGGGGTCTGTAATTGCCTCAGGATAGATGGGAGCCGGTGCCGTCGTCTTGGGGGGGAAGGGTCTGTAATTGCCTCAGGATAGAGGGAGCCGGTGCCGTCGTCTTTGGGGGGGGGAAGGGTCTGTAATTGCCTCAGGAGGGATAGGAGCCGGTGCTGATGTCTTGGTGGGGAGGGGTCTGTAATTGCCTCAGGATAGAGGGGAGCCGGTGCCGTCGTCTTGGTGGGGAGGGGTCTGTAATTGCCTCAGGATAAATGGGAGCCGGTGCCGTCGTCTTCTGGTGGGGAAGGGTCTGTAATTGCCTCAGGATAGAGGGGAGCCGGTGCCGTCGTCTTGGTGGGAGGGGTCTGTAATTGCCTCAGGATAAATGGGAGCCGGTGCCGTCGTCTTGGTGGGGAAGGGTCTGTAATTGCCTCAGGATAGAGGGGAGCCGGTGCCGTCGTCTTGGGGGGAGGGATCTGTAATTCTCTCAGGATAGAGGGGAGCTGGTGCCGCCGTCGTCGTTGGGGGGGGAAGGGTCTGTAATTGCCTCAGGAGGGATAGGAGCCGGTGCTGATGTCTTGGTGGGGAGGGGTCTGTAATTGCCTCAGGATAGAGGGGAGCCGGTGCCGTCGTCTTGGGGGGGAAGGGTCTGTAATTGCCTCAGGATAGAGGGGAGCCGGTGCTGTTGTCTTGGGGGGAAGGGTCTGTAATTGCCTCAGGATAGAGGGGAGCCGGTGCCGATGTCTTGGTCGGGAGGGGGTCTGTAATTGCCTCAGGATAGATGGGAGCCGGTGCCGTCGTCTTGGTGGGGAAGGGTCTGTAAATGCCTCAGGATAGAGGGGAGTCGGTGCTGATGTCTTGGTGGGGAGGGGGTCTGTAATTGCCTCACGATAGATGGAGCCGGAGCCGTTGTCTTGGTGGGGAAGGGTCTGTAATTGCCTCGGGGCGGGTGGGAAGCGGTGTTGTCAGGGAAGGGTCCGCGTCCGCCCCGGCGCGGGCTGGCGGCGGTCGGGTCCCGCCGGCCGGGCTGGGCTGTGCGCCTTCCCGGGAGGCGCGCGCAGGCATCGCTGCAGGGGGTGCAGCAGGACCACGGAGGATCCAGTCTCCGCCTGGAGCGGCCCGGAGCAGCAGAGAGCTCTTCACCCTCGTCCCTGCAGGGAGCCCCGGAGCACCCATCCCGTGAGAGGAGCTGATAGGTGAGCGTTTACCGGGTGGGAGGTGGGGGGGGCGGGGGGCAGAGGGAGGGAGTCGGGAGTAGGTGTGGGAGGACGGCGGGGCCGGTGGTGCTGGGGACAGTTCCCACGGGGCCGGGCGGGGCTGTGGGGAGCTCCCGGTCCCTCTCGTCCCTGACCGCGCTCTCCTGCCTTCGCACCGGTCTCCGGAGCAGACAGAGGCGGCGTCCGTCGTGTGGCAGTGATAGGCAAGAGCGCCTTCAGCCCAGGACCCTGAAGAGGAGCGGAGAGGGGAAGCCCGGGAGACTGAAGAGGAGCGGAGAGGGGAAGCCCGGGAGACTGAAGAGGAGCGGAGAGGGGAAGCCCGGGAGGCTGAAGAGGAGGAAAGTGAAAGGCACTCTGGGCACAGGGACCTCCTTGTCACGGGGGCTGGGGTCACACAAGGGCGTCAGTGGCACCTTTGGGGTGCCCTGGCTGGCTTTGAGCTGGGTGCCCTCCTTGTCACCAGGGTTGGGGTCTTTGCTTTTGCCATGTTGCTCCGTGGGTGGGTAGCCTTCCCGGAGAGAGGGGCAACCTTGTAAGCAGGGGGAGAGCCACCATCTCCGCAGCCTGGGGTGGGGGGAAGAGGAGCTCCTGAATATGGGGCGTTGTGCTGCAGCCGGGTTAGCCAGCCCGTAACTCGGGCTCCGTGGGGCTTGTTGGGAGTGCTGAGCTGAGGGGGACCGCCCTGTAAGAAGGGCTGTGTGTGGCCCCTCTGCTGGGCGGGAGGTGTAGGGAGGGACCCCTTTAATCAAATGGGTGTTTCTGTCCCTGACCTTTCAGAGGCACGGGGCTGAGATGTGTGGTTGGGCGTGCCCTGCCCTGGGCTTCTTTCTCTCTGCTCTCAGTACCTGGGGCAGTTTAGGAGGGTGGACACTAGTGGGGAAGGTGGGAGGCTGGGGCGAACCTGTCTGGGACCTTCCTCTGAGGTTGATGTCCCTCACTCCCCCGGGCGGGGGACCTGGTTTTTGCTTGAGCCCTCACTTCCTTGGCAGCCGTCCCAGGACAAGAACATTGTGTGGAACGGTGCCAGTGAGCACCACGGGTGAGCTAGACGAGGGGCGGTGGGCTGAACACAAGAGCGCTGCCAACACCTTTGACTGGCGGTGCGCTGCGTGATCTCCCTGTAAACACGGCTGGAGTCTTTGGCCTTTTGCCACGATGCCCCACGGTTTGGCTGCCCAGAGAGCGTGGCAACCCTGTAAGGAGGGTGAGAGCCACCGTCCCCGCACCCGAGGGGGAAATGGAGCTCTCTGGACCCCTAGGCCACCCTGTAAGCAGGGGAGGGCCGTTTCCCTGCCCCAGCAGCTTTCTGCCCGCTGGTGGCCTACCCAGCGTGACCCCCTGTTGTCAGGGCGTGTCACAGCGTTTTCCCCTTGGCGTGTTGAAGCTCTCCGGCTTCCACGCAGCCCCGGGCCCGGTCCGAGGCTCTCCTCTCCTGCTCGCAAGTAGGGTGACTCCCCAGGCATTGGCTGCACGGGGCCCACGCTCCCTTTGTGGAACTTCTTTCCTTGTTTGTGTCTGCGATTGCGTGCGTGTCTTTGCGTGCGTGTGCATGAGCAGGAGAATGAGCTTGTTTAGGCCCTTGTTAAAATAGCTGCAGCGTACTTAGCCTGAACTTCCCGGGAGAGCCGGGCTCTGTGCAGTAACAGGGGGCCCCCCTCTGAGTCCGTGAGCGGAGGGACGGTCTGGACTCGCCCCTTCTTTCCAAGGACGGCACCAAGCCGCTTAGTCGTGGTGCGGGCAATGCGACCCGCCTGCAGTCAGGACCTGGGTCTCTGCCTGCGTGGCTGCCTGTCCCGCTGGTGACCCGCCAGCGTGACCCCCTGTTGTCAGGGCGTGTCACAGCATTTGCCCCTTGGCGTGTTGAAGCTCTCGGGCTTCCACGCACAGCCACAATAATCGGTGGAGCCCTCTGTCCCCTGGAGCAGCCCCAGCTCGCTTTAAGCAGGGCTTGGGACGCTGTTTTAGCCAGCCCACAGGAACGAACCCTCCCTCGCCCTTCAGAGGGCGCCGGCCCACCTTTGGCTGGGCTGACCTCCCCCTGCTTGGGGTCGAGGTCGCTCGCTGGGCTCCTGCAGAAGTACAAGATGATGATGGTGACGATGATGATGATGTGCTGCAGCCACGAGGCCCGCCCGTAAGTCGGGCGCAGGTCGGAGCCTCAGGCTCCGTGGGGCTTGTTGGGAGCGCTGAGGTGAGGGGAGCCACCCTGTAAGGAGGGCTGTGAGTGTCCCCTGCTCCCAGTGGGAGTGCTGGGAGGGCCCCCCTGTAAGCAGGCGGGTGTCCCTGGCCCCAACCTTGCAGGGGCAACAATTCGGAATCTGTGTCTTCTCACGCCAGAACTGGAATGGCTTCTAAACCGCCAGGGAACGGCCCTGAGCCAAGTACCTCCCCCACACCCATAAAGACCCTCCCCAAAGCACTAAGGATGCTGTAGTGTGACTGCAGCCCCGGTGACAGGGACCGTCCCTTTGCCCGGAGTGCCTTTCTCTGGGCCCTTCTTCAGCCCGCTGCTTCTCCTCCGGCTCGCTCTTTCCTTGCAGTTCCACACGCGAGGGATGCCTCTGTTTAACCTTCTCCTCCGGGGGCTGCTGCCAAGGAACCGGGGAGCCTCTGCCCACTCCTCCGCCCGGTGGACCGGGGGGCGCCCGCCCCGGAGGAACATCCCTGCTTTTGTTTGTCCAGAGTCCTGGGCCTGAGAGCAGAGACCGAGCGGCCTAGGGCACGGCGAGGAGGGTGGGATGGGAGCAGGTCGAGGGTGGCCAGCGGCGCTTGCCCGCCTCAAACACCACCCCGTTTGCAACCAGCTGCTCGGCGTTAAAGCGACAGCTTCTCCCGAGGGTGGGGGGAGAGACCCACTTCGGGAGGTTCTGCCCAAGCCCCCCGCCCCTCCCGGGACCTGCCCTTGCCAGAGCTTCCAGCGATTCCGCTGCCCCTAGGGCAGGAACTGCCCCGCACTCTACAGAGCGCGCAGCTGGCAGCCTGCGTGGGGTGACCGCCCCCCTAGTGGGGTGCGGGTCAGGGTGTCCCTGAACGGGAGAGAGGGAGCCCCAGAGGGGCTTGGGGACCAGGGCCGCCCCCTCCAGCCGCTGCTTTGCACGCCCAGCAGCGCGTGCCCAGGGTGCCGCCTCCGAGCACGCCTCCAACGCCGGCGG